TAAGAAAAAGAGAATTTCGCATAATCAAAGAAAGATTATCGAATTAGAGAAATTTATGTTACTACGGTAACAGTATTGAATTAATAAAAGAAAATTACATCTTATTTGTTTATAAATCAACTTTAAAAGAATACTCGACATGTTATAAATTGAATTATAAAAGACACAATTATCTTTGAATCTTTCTGATCTTATTCTAGCTGATTAACAAAATGAATATACATTATCTATCTTAGTAAACTCTTTCAACTTAAAGTTATTTAATACGTTAACTCTGCTATTTGATTTTATTATATGTATTCTTATAACAAAATATAAAGTCATATTAAAATGATAATAATACTGATCTTTAATTAAACTTAAATTAGACTCAAACTCATATAATAATTCAGTTCAAACTTTGAATCTTTTAAATCCAAGTCAAAATTCAGTTTGAGTTTGATTCAAATTTTGAATTGAACTCAAATTCAGATAAAAGTCTGATTTAGTTCAATTCATAGAAATACTACTATAACATATTATTAAATTTAAAGCAAACTAATACTTGATCTTATTCAACTTATAACTGTACTTTAGAATCTAATTAATAAACTAAAAACTCTAGAAGCATTAAGAAAGCTTGTCTTTTAATTAAAAAATAATAATTAAAACTATTTCTATGATAATAATCACCAGTCACCTATTTGTTATAATTGTAATAAGATTGGATATCTATCAAAAAAACTGCAATAAATCTTATAATGCCAACTCTTATCAACAAAATATTAATCAAATTAAAACAATCAATATTCCAGCAAAAATTAATTCTTCTTTTAAATCAGCACCAATAAATGATAATCAAATCAATCTTCTATCTTAAATTTAATTATTAATAACTATATTACAAGTATTAAATCTTAATCACAAACTAGTATATATAACTTTATCAACTCAATTTTGCTTGTTGTTATGATTCAAATATTTTATAACATAGTTATTTCATTAACAATTAATTACTTTTATTATATTTAATATTTTTAATAATTAAATTTATTTAATTTAATTATTTATTATTTAATTATTTAATTTATTATATTCTTATTGGACAAATTTGAAAATCACATGACTTTTATATATAACATGTGATTTGGACATGTGATTTCTACATGTAACTTGTACATATGATTTTATATATAATTTATTGTTATTATAATTTAAGTAATTTCATAATTCTGCCATTAATTCATGATTTCTTAATGCTTTAAAAACATTCACAACATTTCATGAATATCACCTTTTATAACATTATTAAATTTAATTAAAATACTTTATTTATTATCTATATCATATTATATATATTACCTTTACTATATTTATATTTATATTAAATATAATATTAATTAGTGAAAAATATTTATTATAAATACAGTTGGTCTTGTAGCTGTAAAAAAGTCGTAACGACAAAATTTAATCTGTGAATATTATTAACACGAATTTAGTCCAGAGGTAAATTGATTTCATAAAATACAATCTATCGATTATGCTTTTTTTCCGATATCTAAGTCAGATCGATCACTGCTGTATTCAAAACACAAGTATTGGTTTTTTTGTAATTTCTAATTGTCGTTCCCCACTCATCCCATATTATCTATTATCTGATGATATGGCATACTTGAAAACACATAAATTAATGCATCAGAACCTGTGAGCTAGAGAATGGCTCAAAAAATCGGATTGGCGTTCAAGAGGCATCAAAAATGCAAGCAATATCAACTACAGCTGGTGTTTTATGCAATTGTAAGAACTAAGTTATCGTAATCAAAAAAAAAACATTAATATATACTGACATCTTTAATTACTGTTACACGTCTTTCAGATAGATCAGATCGGATCAGAATCCACATAACGTGATACTGAATCTCCATTCTCCGGTGAGAACGATAAAGTAATTGCTTGATTTAGATTACTTGTTTACCATGTGATCAATGAGAAAATAAATCCTATCTCAAAGATGTAACACAGTGCCCCCACCAGACAAGCATTTCGCGACGAGGACAACTAATAGTTGACTCTACGTCCGTGTAAAATTTGGGAATCAATAAGATCGATTAGGGTTGTTAATCAGTCCTAAATCGGTCCCACAATTTTAAAAATTACTACGTAATTCTAGAAAAGTCAAATTGTTTAACTATATATAACGATAATAAGTAACTCTTTTTAAAATATTGCTGTAAATAAGTTTTATTAATGGTTTGTGAAATAAAATTATCTCCAAATCTTCCGGTGATTGTTTCGGTCCCGGGATGGTCCCAACCCATCACAAATTCTACATTAACCATTATCATAAGCAAGTTTAATAGTAACTTGTAAGAAAAAAATTATCTCTAAAATAAATAATTTTCATGGGACTGTTTGAAAGCGGGTTTCAAAAGAGGAATGGCAAATCTCAAGTGTTAATATGATATCACGTGCATGTGTTAATGCCTTATGAATTATGTTTTTTTCATAAAAAGTTGTTAAATTCTTTAAATACAGTCGTGCCTTTATACTGTATAGTTACACCTTTTTCCCAATGCCAAACTGTCACAACTGCACCTTGATGGAATGGTTGTCCAAAGAGGTCTCGTGATAACACTGAAAAAATTCTATTAATGTGCACATGATATAAATGATGTAATTCTATGACAACATTGATAATTTACGCGCGTAAACAAACAATAAATCATTATCGTTATCACCAAACTCTGACAAATCACCCAAGTGGCCAAAGACTATTATTATTAAACAAGTCCTTGCTAACAACAGTAACAATAAATATCAGTCTATAAACTACCTCTTTTTTAGTATATTGAATTTTCATTTCTCATGGATTTACAAACAAATATGGAAGCACTGCTTCGCCAGTTCTTTAATATTCAAGGCGATGGTAGAGTGGTTATTCATAATTTAAATGCACTTGCGACTTGTGATAGTGTTAATGGTGGTGATGGAGGAGAGGATAAACAAGGAGTCGATGATATTATTACTAATGATAATATTGATGATGATTTGCGTGAGAGGTTGATATTTTTTACAAATCAATTTACTATATTCCCAACTGGAAGGCAGTAAGTGTTTAAATCAAAGTTTAAAAAAGATAAATTTTGCATTGTAAATTATTTAACAGCCAAAATATACTTTTCTATTAGATTAACAAGTCACTATAACGTGCATACAGCAACTTGTAATCCCATCAAAAAAAGGTGGCTTTTCGCATCTCGTTCCGGCCCTCGATATAGTGACAACCCAAAGATGGTATCAATTCTTGCGCTCAAGAAATGGGCGGTGGAAGCTGCGAATGAGAAATCAGACTTTAATTTCCTTCCATCTAAACATTTACTTGAACACCCACATCCACCACTTCATCCATGTCAAGAATTCTTAGATGTTGAATTCTGGACACGAAATTGTCAAATGAAAACTATCGACACTGGTCGATACAAATCTTTTTCTTTGCCGGAAACTGTGTCATTTCGTATTTCTCCCGTGCTTGAGGGCGAATACGTTTTTAAGAATATTATAGATTTTGTCGGAGCGGCTGTTACGATTCTAAGTAATCGCTACGAATCAGAACCCACATTTCCGGTTTACGCCACTTTTTTACCAATAGATTTGATGGAGGCTATTACAAAGAGAGAGATTATAAAGTATATCACTAAATTACCCGAATCGTACCGATGTCCGGCTGAAAAAGTTGATGGCATTGAAGAAGAATTGCGACGTTTGAAACAATTTCGTAATAAAAAAATTAGTGATATCGCAAAACGAGATCCTGAAACAATTCAACGATTCGTAACAATTTATAAAGAATTCAAGCAGACGTTGCATGAAATCCGTGTTGCCGATCCACCATTCATTATTTGCTTTTCTATGGTAGACTGGGAATTCACTGTTATTTGGCTTCGACAACGTGAACATCCGGGCATTCTCAAGTATCTTCCTGGATTTTCTCGACGTCCTTCTATCTCGCCGAAAACTTTTCTTTGGCCTCGCTATGATCATATGAAAGAAACATGGGTTCCAAAAATTATCTGCAACAATCCGACCTGTTACCAAAGTCAAGGCGAATCAACTGATCCACAAATAATGGAGACTTTTCGCGATTATCGACATCGCTTCATCAAGAGACGTCAAGATGGTACTTTGGGTGTTGTGCCAGAAGTCACATATAATCTCAAATTATGCTCGCGTTGCAAAAAAGCCAGATATTGTGGCGTCTTGTGTCAAAAAGCAGATTTGAAGAGACACAAAGTTGTTTGTAGTGACTCGTAAATTTTTTGCTTCCCTTTTTTAATACTAAATAGTAGCATACTGTCCATGATTAGTCTTCTCAATTTTTATGTTAATAGATTCTCCATAATGAACACTACATACATGTATAAGAGCATTTACAAGAAATAAAGCAATGCGACATAGCATCAAACTCTGACACTGAGAAATTATCTATATACATGTATATCGATATCCCATTAAAAATTACGTACGTATTATTAATTGTGACGATTCTTTGCAGAAATAATAATAATAATAATAAAGTAACGGGCTTTTGCATCTTCCAGACAAGGTTTATTTATGCTATTTCCAAATATAATGTAAGCTTAGATTTGATTAGGATCTATCATAGCGATAGTAACAAAAAAGAAGAAAAATAGATGAAATCAACTTTGAATTGATAAAGTTAGCATTTAAGACAGTCAACTCTCGAAATTTTTGTTTGTTGAATTGAACTCGGTCATTATTGTTATCATTCCACAAGTCTGCAAAGCTCGTCAATTGAAAAATATAACATTTTCATCTTGAAGAATCTAAGTTTACATTTTTTAAAAAAATTAAGACATGCTCAACGATTAAATACTTTTGATACAATATTTAATCCACAATATTATAAATAAAAAAATAAAATTGCTTTTGTGGATATTATTATAGATTAATTCAATTATAAAACAATTTATATTTTGAATATTTAATTGTGAATTCGATTAAATTGTGAATCTAGTATTGATTATTTATAAAATACAGTTGGCACCATAAAGATCCGAAAATCGTTTATAACATAATAAAAAATTTATAAAATTTAATAAAACTTTAGAGATATATTCTGAGAAAGTATGTTTTATTATTAAAATTATCTGCAATTTTCATTTGAACTTCAAAAAAACCTGTTTAAAAAATAAGAGTAAAAAAACTAATCAAAAGTAATTTTTACTAAGATATTTTGTAAGTAGTCTTAAGTAAACTTGTTTCTTATATTATAAATGTATTTTCATTTCAAAATCACAATTTTTTTGAAATTATGTAATTTATTACTGTTATATGTGAAGGCTTTTTTCTTGTAAATTATTATTCATATAAAATTATTAGTAAATTAAATTATGATAAGAAATTAGAAATTTGTATATAGTCAAATTTCTCTATAGTTATCACTCTTAGAAAGCAAAATTTGGTGAATATAGAGATTTTTTAATTATATTTATATATAAATAAAAAGCAAAATAGAGTGATTATAACTATAAATGAATGTAACTATAGAGAAATTTGACTAGATATACTACTAGATTATATATGATTTAATAATAATAGTAATTATTAAATTATATATAACTAGTAATAATAAATATTATAACTAATATTGAAATTGGTTAATACTAAAATTTTTATATAAATAAATTATATAATACTAATTAATTTAGAGTATTGTTATTGCCATCTCCCATTTTTGCTATTGTCATCCCACCACGTGATTAGAAATGAATCAGTTTGAATCAGTTCAAAACCAGATCATAGTCACCTGTTCGAGATCATGTGTTTACATGATTCCATCACATGCAAGTCTTTTCATAATAGCCACTTCTTGGAGGTTTCACGCAATAATTATTCTAATCGATCAAATGAACAAAAAAAACAAGTCTTTCCATAATAGTCACTTATTGTTCACGCAATAATTATTCTAACCGATCAAAATGAACAAAAAAAAACAATTAATTAAGTTTTTCCATAATAGTCACTTCTTGAAGATTTCACGCAATAATAATTATTCTAATTGATCAAAATGAACAAAAAAAAAAAACAGTTAAGTCTTTCCATAACTGCTTCTTGGAGGTTTCACGCAATAATAATTATTCTAAAAAAATTAAGAAAAACGTGATTTACTACACTCTTTACAAAAGAAAATGAATTTTGTAGAACCACAGATTCACACATTAGAACATGTACGACTATTGTGGTCAGTTTGACGGCATATACCACACTGTCTTGCTCGTCTTTCGACGAGTTCGAATGCAGATGAATCTCTTTGCATCGATCCCTGGCTTTGGTTTCTTGTCTCAACTGATCTTTCTCGTGGTCTAATAATAGCAGGATTTTTCAGCACAACAGGATGTGTATGCGCCAGCTCTTCCAGCTGAGCGCAGGCAACAATTTGCTGATGTAGTGGCCAGAATTGGTACTGCTGTACAAGAGTAAGGATGCTTGCCTAAATCCTTTCAGAAAAATATCGTCATAATTTCGACGGGTTACACACTAATTGTTAATTA